AAAACATCACATTTTCTCCAAACAGACCTGGCGTCCTGATACCTATAAACGACAGTGTAAAGTAGTTCTTTATACTAATTTTACACTAGATTACAAATATAATAAATAATCGAATCCATTTAATATCACAGTTTCGAATTGATTTTATGGTTTGAAATTGAGAAAGAAAATGGGATTGTTTGCACAATGTGGTTAACGTTCGTTTATCCGCACTCGGGCGACCAAATTGAAAGCGAATTACAAGCGCTCGCCACGTTTAATGCCTGCATTCGACACATGTCGATCTCATCGTGCTCACTGTTCGAGCAAGGTAAGCAGAGTTGTCGGGGTGTTCAGCGATTTTATCTTGGCGATCTTATTTACATACGCTGACACCGCAAACTCTATTAATTAACACTGCCCACGAGGAAGTTGAGCGCAATTGCTCCTGCAACGGGACACTGTACTTACGCTGACAATTTTTAATGTCAAGTGACGCGTAAAAGTTTCCGGGTCTGTCTAACGGAAGTCCATTATTGCGAAATATATTATTAACACTTGAGCTACCAAAGTAGTCAAAATGAACAATAACTATCTATTTTCTGAGGTCCTTTGCAACTTTTATTGCAATTTATAAGTAATAATGTTCGTTAATTTATCGATTTGCATATTTTCAACAATCTATCCCTGTTATGAGTGTGACAAAAATAGAAATATGTTCATCTCCGGTTTTTACAGTGTTAAAAAATTATGGTTTGCACAATATCGTAATGTGGTAAATTTGTATATAACTTATTTTGTTTAAGATTATGTTCGTTGCAATACTAATTTGTCAGCTGTTCTCAAACTATGCATCAAAGAAACATTATTAACATTCTAAAGCTTCTTTCATTAATTCCACTACTGAAACAAATTAGAACCTACAAAAAACTCTAAAATCAACATTTTTCTTCTACCCAACCTGTATCATCACTTTAAGACATTAATTTTAAGCTATAATCTCTATTCCCCACATAATTGAGGGTCTCATAACTAAAACGACCTTTGTGAAATATTTTCATTTTTACGATAACAACAAATTCTAGTAGTAAGAAGCGAGGTTCACAACATGGTGGAACCTACACCATCAAATACGACCTACACTACCAGCCAAAAGTATGGAACCAGGTCTGCTAATTAAAGAAAGAGAAAAACATTACCTGTTCTATAAAAATTTGATAAAAGTAATGTGCAAAAACTGATTGGAAATGATTTATATATGTACTGATTCCGTAATTTTTATTATATCCTAACAGAATAATGAAATACTATTCCATCAATTCTGATCTCTGATTCCATACTTCTGTCCGGTATTGTGTGTCCTGATTTATTCCGAAAAAAAAAATAAATCGATTCTTAACACTTTTAAAGACGTCAGAGTATTCTATTACTCTCCCTAAAAAAAAAGAATAAAAATCAACAATGCTCGTTACGAGCTCTTCAATTCAAAAGAATCAACCATGGTCCAAATTCTTCAAGAAAAACCACATACAATCCAAAACAGGAAGCAACATCTCACCGATCCAAGGTCGACAGAACCACACTAACCAACTCCGTTCCGATCGTCCCATATAAAATTTCATTATGTCGTGGCCGTAAAATATTGAAAAATCGAGCGGCTATGAATTAGTGTCCACTTGGTGGAACGGTTAGTAGGAACGGGTCCCATGAGGCCGTGTTAATTAATAATTGCCCGTCGTTCCGTGGCAGCATGGCAAAATGAAGATCGGCCCGGTTTTTGTCCGGTGGACGATCCACAGGCGCAAGAACCGACTGTATCGCGTCAGTTCTCTGACCGTAGTTGGCATGTGGAAGAGAGGAACGCATCGGCTGCCATAAACAGCCTTGGCCTTAGCCTCGAGTTCAGCTATCGGTTTAACGCAGCCGCCTTCGTATACCCAACCTGGGGGCCGCGGGGATCGGTAGCGCAAAAACCGGGCACATGTTTTATTCGATCCAACGAATGGAAGGAACGTCCACCGCGTGCTGCTGGCGCTAATAAGTGTGCGCTATTAATTGCACCCGCCCGAAGAAAACAACCGTACACGAAACTGCAATATGTAGTGGAGGATAATGGCAGCGATGGGGTTGGGTAGCCAGTTGGACGCTAAGTTACAATATCGCGGCAATTACTTTGTTGATTGACGCGGGAATACAAAACATCGCGGAGGGAGCAATTGCGTGTCTTTGGAAGGGACGCGGACGTCTCGAGCAACGTCCGCGAAGGGTAAGGAATAAGGAAGAGTGGACTGCATTCTTGCGCTCGGAATGAGAGGAATCTTCCGACTCGGCGAACAGTTTTGAAATGTTTTTGCCTTGGGATTTATTAGGTCGTACGGAAAGTCCGTGACATTTTCGTCCCAGAGTTTCCATCGTTTTTTTTTTGGCGGAGAAATATAGAATTGGTTGATCCGATGGGTTTGTACTGTCTTCTAAAGGTGCGTATCCACTTCTTGCGTATCCACTTTTCGATTCCAGGATACGTAACAAATGGATGCACAGTTTAAGATGTATTTATGCCGAATAGTTTACATTTTTTGTGTGAAATGTAACTGAAATAGTACGAATTAGTATAAAATACATATTTGATCGGAAAAGGTTACAGCATCCACCCCATTTAAGGGACATAGCCCTTACTAGTTTCAATTCACTCCGATTGCTGGATTATTTCGTATAAGAGAAAGACTTTGAGAACAGTGGAGGAATTAAAAAGTATTTTGAATATGATTCATTATCTTTTCTTAACAAAAGGATGAAAAATTGATACAACTGTAACAAAACTATCTGAAGAAGCGAAGAAGTTACAAAACAAGAAGCGGAAAGTACATTTCTGGATCCCAGAGCCAAAGTGTATTATCCGCGTTTTTAACGATGTGACATTTTATGTGTTTCCCCTATCAAATTTTTCACTCTTACTTACTCTGAGCCGAACACTGTAATCTCCATCACATAGGGGACTTAATGCAATGTTCATTGTTTCTACATATCGAGACTTGAAGAGTCCATTCAATAGTTCGAAGTTACCGACTGTCTTTCGTCGAATTCTTTCCGAACAGATCGACACTCACAAGCTGTTTGCGCTATTGATTTGCTGACCTCTAAAGTTCGAAAAGTGTGACTTAATACACTCAGGCTTTAGGATCCAGATATAATTCTTCGGAAACAAATGCACTTATATAATTTTTCCATGGATCCTGTCATTTAAAATCTTTATCCCCGGCTCCTCAGACTAGCCTATTCCGTTTTTTAAAACAAATCCTACCAACCGGTTAAGCTTCTACTAATGTTTTTAACATACCTACTTCCTAGATTCTAGACTCCTAGAAATTCAACTACAACGTTCCCAATTTACGCGACGAAACATCAGTTTCAATAGACACTTACTCGGCATCCGCAGACTATAATAACGCGTCAAAGTTCGAAAGATGAAGATGCCCGAAAAAGAACAATTCGGATCGTGGCTCGCGTGTACGGCCACGCATTATTTATGAGGCCGCCAAAAGAATCGGTCCGAGGGAACAGCGCTAGTAACGGCTCTCGAAACGGAGGAACGAATTGTACAAATTTCTACGTGTGCCGTGAAATTAGGAGCAGTTATCTTTTGCCGGCGTTTCCGGTTGTCCCGCGAGTGGCGCCTCGAGGGAGCCAGAGCAAAAGAGACAGAGAGAGAAAGGTAAAAAAAAAAAAGGAGGAAAGCGGAGCGAGTAGGCGCCGCGAACTCGAAGGTGCAATTTCGGTCGAGTGGGCGGCCTATGAGGGCGAGGAAAAAGAATAGAAACGAAAGTGGTTGAACGACCCCGACCGAGCAATCGAACCGTTCGAACCGACATTTTTATTCTGCTCGTCGCGTACGATCCTCGTGATGCCTTCGAGTCACGCGAGAAGGTGTTACATTCCGGACTGACACCCTTCGCTTTAAACGCCTGTTCTGGTGATACCTGATCACTGGGCTAAAACTGCAAATTTAATAAGTGTGTAATGAATAGACTGCATATATTTAGGCACAATTACAATTCGTCAAGTGATTTATATAAGCAAGAACAAAAGTAGGAATTTATTTCCTCTCTAAAGTACACTACCGCTCATAGGTCTTAGGACACTTATCGAATATACACTGAATGTTACACTGTATGACGAAATTGCTGGAAGTGTAAAACGAGTACTAATTGTGCAGTTTCGCGGCGTTTCTCTATTTTAGATATTTCACTTCGGTTGTTTTTAAATAGCTTCATTTTATCAGTAAAACGAAAAATCAGGCTGGGAAGCCGAAAGAGTAATGTACTTTTGTCAGTTTCGGTTAAAAGAGCAGAGGAAATTGTTAGCAATCATACACTCAATACCGATTTCAATGTCCTTTGGATATGTTATAGTAGTCAACATTTTGCACAATTTTTTCCTAAATAGTTAAAATTGAGAAAAGCAAGAAAACTGCATAATTTAGGGGAAAATTTAAAAGCTTGAAAAATTTCTTATTAGTATACGTATGTTCCATTATGAAGGTACACCAATGATTAGTAACTTTTTTGACGAAATCAGTTCCTTTCTGTGAAAAATCGAGAATCTATACCCACTGTTTCGTAAATACTCACGACATTTTTACCCAGTAAAAGAGCCAAAGGATGTTTCTAGTTTGGAACATATCATCATGCAATTATTACATTTCTCAGAAAATTTTGTGGTTTTTTATCCATGTTCTAATGACAAAATACAAAATTTTTACTTCGAAGACTGACAAACTGTCAGGAACATGAAATATGGCCATGCAGAAAAATAGCTGGTAGGTCTCAGACTAATATTAAAATAAAGAAATCTCAACATAGATAAAAAAAGAGTTCAAATAGCGCCATAATTTTTGGACAGACCTAATACCCAACATAATAGGAGATACTTATCGTTACCTAAATCTCATAGTTTCTGTAAAACAAGTAACAAGGTCTTCTAATGTCTTACCTAGAATATTATCAACTTTCAATTTAACGAACTTCTTAAGTTTACATCCTCGATCCGTGATTCAGCAGCAAAAACGAACTGGACGACCACCTTTTGCATCTTTTGTTTCTGTGCAACGAGTATCATTCGTTGCTGGCTTTCTTTCTCCTTCGACTCGTTTAACAAATTATAAATCGCTGAAGTGACTGCACTCGGTACAAGCACTTCCTCTGACATCTTGATTGCGAATAAACGGAACACAGACGCGCGCGGATGCTACGGTACCATTAATCGACCAAGTGTACTGAACTGTGTACTCGCCTTTACGCATAAAGAATCAGGCTACCCCGCGTCCTGAACACGAGGTGCATCAATTTTGTATAATTCTATCGGCTGAGGTTTATGACTTCCTTCAAAAGGCTATTAATTTCATGACTAATACAATAAATCATCAATTTGTACCGATAAAAAGAAAAAGCACCGTAATATGATGATAATAAAGATAATAATAACAGATGTTTATTGCATTTACTACTGCTATTAAAATCATTGTTGATAGGAGATAAAGTCTCATAAACTCATAAGTAGTAGATTGTGGACGTTTATGTTAATACGGATGTTTGTGGAATAGTTTATAGAAAGTAGAATCAAGCAGAAATGTATTTACTATATTGACTCTAAAATAAATATCTTGCTGACTGAAGGGTTAAAAAATTAACCTACATACATACATGTTTATGTCACGTAAGCACTTCAAACTGACTGTATAAAAAATTAGCCTTTCACACCGATATGTTTTATATTTAAAATTCTATTTCCATTCATACAACTGTAATTTCCTCTACCTTCAATTATAACAAATAACGACTGAATAATACTCATTTACTATTTCGTCACTGCAACCCACACGCGGCGTACACTTCTTGCGTGCCTATATACTGCATATAGCTTTCGCACGCCGACATTTTATTTGCATATTTTGACGTATTTTACCTGCATAAAGATACCCAACGTGCACGCCGGACGTACCATCTGATACGGAGTGACGAATACCTCAATTGCCGATTATTTCCATCGAAATTTATGCGACATGCGTGCGGTCCACGCCACGCATGCGTCATCCAGCGTATCCTTTTTAGGGATATCGTTTGCTTGATCCTTTGAAAAGATTACCAGAACCCTGTTACCTGCGTGTTACCGATCGTTATCGGACCTGATCGGAATGCGTCCGTGGCACAATTTGTACGTTCCGACAAAGCTCGGTGACGTTTTGTAAACGATAAAATCGCCTAACGACCCCACTTCATCCTTTCTCGCTTATTATCCACGGCGAATCAACGACAATGTTTCGTGGAATGTGAAATATTGAACAGTTTTCTCTCGCGGCGATTTTCCACGCGTCTCGAATATTTATGAAAATAAAAGATATTGATCATTTGGTTTAACATGTTTATTGAGAAGTAGTTCAGGTTTCATCGTGTACCTTTGTATCAATGAAATTAAATGTGATGTTTTAGCTATTACACACTTTGCTTGATATAGTCTGTAAGTTCTTTTTTGAGAGTAGATTTAAATGGTTATTCATTGCATAATACGGAAATATAATTGATTATTAGCCTGAGGATTTTGTGTATTTATCGTAAATGTGAATATGCAACACAATACAATAAAAAATTCTACTTTACTTTGGACCTAACGAAACCTTTAATACGGGAAACAAATCTTTGGCATAATTTCAATTCAGTAAATTGATTAAAAAAAAATCTGACTTTGTATAAAAATCCGCAGTCTTCTTATCATTCATTTAAAGAAGACACGAATATTTCAAATGCGCAGAGGTTTTTAAGCTACAATGAAAATTGTAAAGGTAGAAAATACATTATAAAATGTAATAATAATTAATTATATGTTTGAGGGTAATTTACTGAGACAATTTAAAACAGAAAATTATTTCGTCTCTAGAAGATTTAATTTTGTTGGTAATAATTCCAACATTTTATTAAAACCTGTTGGAATGTTTATTTTATGCCAATGTAGTCAATATTAGATCGAGAAACTTACACACGCAAACACACGCGCACACACACATATACATATATAACCGTGGCTCCCATAAAATTCGATAGAATATTGTTTGGCCCCTAAATGTCTGGTGGTCGAAGAGACGCGATTATAATAGAATCGTGCGAGAGAAAGACCATCCGCATCTGGCAAGACTTCCTGTCGCACAACGATGCCTATTTACGAAGCGCGCCTCTGCGAGTTTCACGCGCAAGGATTCCCCTTCATTGCTCGCCCACCTTCCACTTCCGGTAGATTCGAATAAAAAGCTACGCGTGATTTCGTGTCAAACGAACGGTCGCCCTATCGTCTTACCAGCTAGCTCAACCACTCGAAAGTATTCTATAAATCTTACACTACACATATTGCTTTTCTAAACTTTTTTTTGATATTAACTTTTCTGTTTAATATTAGGTTGTTGCATAATAAATATCGTTTCACAGAACCGCTTTATTTCAACCGTCTTAGTTTTCACAAAACTGGAAAGAATAAACTTGTAACTTGTTGGAAAAAATGTGTTCAATCACGTTTAACTTGATATTGTCATTTTATTTCATATTATCGGCGGGGAATTCAACTTCTGATAGAAAAATGGCAATATGGTTATGTAGATACTATTTTAAGTAACAGATGACCTAGCAATAGTAAAAAGCTGCCATTACTTTTTTTATACAGCTAATACTTAAATGTTCCTATTACAATAACTGCTTCAAATAGTTTATCCCCTGAACGATGCGTTTTACGTGAAGCTATAATTAACTAGAATATACAAGTCCTTCGTGACAAAAAAAAATTCATTCCGACAAGTAAATCTCCGTTTAATTGTAGTCTATCGAAAAGTGGAACGTCCGAGAAGCAGGCACGTTCAACACCTCGAATGAGGATGAAGCGTAGGCTCTAATATAACAACTACTCGACGTGGGGACACACGTTCGAGGGATATCTCGCGTTAATTGCACTGTAGTCTCGTGGTACACCTTGATGACACTCGCAGGTAGTTGTCAGAAACGTGTTTTGCTTCCGGGTTCTAGACTCTTTTTTCTTGTGCTGTTTTTGAAGCAGTATCGTCCCCAATTGCAGCGTCATAAAGGAAGTTCAACCAGAAAAATGAAAGGTGTACGTGCTATTAACCACGGGGTGCTAAGTGTGTAGAATATTATGGTAAACATACTGAATATTGTAAATATTTTTGCGAAAATATAATAGATATTATAATAAAATATGATAGATATTTTTGAAGAGGATAGTAGAAACAGTAAAAATAATAGAACAGTAAAATAGTAGAGGGAGAGTCGAAGACTTTTAAAAGCTACGTAGTCTGGAGAGGATACCTATTTTTTTTGCATTTCGTACAGTTTTTTTTTGAGAACTAGTATTATAGTTTATAATTATATGCAGAGATTTACGAAATGAGATGATAAAATTTGTAAATAAAAATTGTACTTATTATTACAGTATTTGGAGATGGGAAGCATTACGACGAGAATGAATGTAATAAATGTTCAGAAGCACTTAACACACAAAAATCTTTATATACAGAATGTCAATTTTAACGATTTCTGCTATTTATAACGAAGCTGTTATTTTCGTGTTAAATAGTGTTCTTATAACTTTATAACAAATCATTTTTTGTCAAACATTTATATAACATTCTTTTGTTACTTTTTTGCATAAGGGATATCACTGAGTTTAAACATTCAATTTGAAGACTCCCCGTGTATAAGGATTGTCTCGTGCCAACTCAATAGTATTCGAATCGACGAAACATTTTTCATTAAATTTGAAACGGAAACAGGAGTACTTTACTCCAATGAAAACTGATGGTCGAGGAAATGGATCATAACACAGCAGATGACGGTGGTAACACCAATTTTTTTATAATGCATCGTTACTACTCTTTCATGCAAACAAAGCAATGAAGTTTAAGAATTAAAATTTGCACACTTGCATGGGAATACATAACATTACCATATAATTATTTTAACATCTATTATTAATAGGCTGTGTATATTACACATTTATGATTATAATTCAACGATGGTCTTTATTTATTCTTATCTTCTCAAAACTTTTGAAAGAGCAAGAAATCTAGTCATTTCTTGTATCCATCCCATTTGCTATCTGTGTTCGATTCTTCCAGGTTCAGAAAGTGAAAAACCACCATCATTTACAAAAAGTATAAAGTCGATTTTCAACTATAACAAACGATAAGAGGTTTTTCTCTCTAGCACTTAAATCGTCTTTCATGATTAGAATGTCTGCTGTTTACCACGTACACCGATCATTTACTGAAAATTGTCTCGAGCCGATAAGGACCTACGCGTAGGAAGCAATTTCGAAGGAAGACAAGACGCATAGTAGCAAAAACAAGTAAAACAGAACGCAGATAGCAAATAATTGTAAGGTACGATGGGTCCGTCATGGGCCGATATCGTTACGGACCCAGTTCCTGATCACTTAAGAGTAACTATCGCCATTTTTTTTAAACATATAAATAGAAAAATTAATCAAATCCAAAAGAATTACTGTTATTCGAATAAATCTATGTATTATCTTCAAGTTGGTATTGACAAACGTGCAGAAATAGCAATACAATTAAATTATAATTTAACTTTAAAATTAAGAAGAGCAACAGGAGCAATTTCTGATCGCCTAAATTATATGTTAGTATCTTGCTCCGAGCTGTCGAATTTTACGTATAACTTTCTACATAGTTACTAATCATTTAGTAATTTTTTGGAAAATATACTTTATTATAATATACTTATTATATGATATCTATATGTATACTAAACTGATCAGGAATTGGGTTCTGATCAGTAACTGGGTCCGTGACGGTATAAATACATTCTACTTATGGTCTCGGATTTTGTTGGCTTAACGCGACATCGCGATCGGTGACAAACGTCGGACGAAGTTGTCGACTGAACTTCAAGGACTATGATTCACGCCCATTACTATTCTGACTTTAAACCATAAATAATAACAGGGGAGCAGTTTCATCGTTTCGAGATGTCTCGATTAGAGGACTACCCGCTGGGAAACTAACTGCCTCCAATTTTCCACGAACGCGTGCTGACGCTGTTGGGACGTTCCTGATTTAGAGGAGCGGAGAGAACAGCCGAAACTACCGGGGCCTTTAATTTGTTCAAGGAAGCGCGGTCAAAGTGTGTTGC